CGGCCGCTCGTCCGTCTCTATTCTCAAGGTCCTTCTTGCCGTCTCTGTTCCTTGAAACCTGGTTTGTTGGATCCTTTGAGCGAAGCTCTTTCTGTCTCCGTCTCAATAGACGAGGGTTGCCCGCTCCTTTGATCGACAGCACGTCCGTCTCTATCCACAAAGTCCTTCTTGCCGTCTCTGTTCCTTGAAACCTGGTTTGCTGGATCCTTTGAGAGAAGCTCTTTCTGTCTCCGTCTCAATAGACGAGGGTTGCCCGCTCCTTTGATCGGCCGCTCGTCCGTCTCTATTCTCAAAGTCCTTCTTGCCGTCTCTGTTCCTTGAAACCTGGTTTTCTGGATCCTTTGAGCGAAGCTCTTTCTGTCTCCGTCTCAATAGACGAGGGTTGCCCGCTCCTTTGATCGGCAGCACGTCCGTCTCTATCCACAAAGTCCTTCTTGCCGTCTCTGTTCCTTGAACCCTGGTTTGCTGGATCCTTTGCGCGAAGCTCTTTCTGTCTCCGTCTCAATAGACGAGGGTTGCCCGCTCCTTTGATCGGCCGCTCGTCCGTCTCTATTCTCAAAGTCCTTCTTGCCGTCTCTGTTCCATGAAACCTGGTTTGTTGGATCCTTTGAGCGAAGCTCTTTCTGTCTCCGTCTCAATAGACGAGGGTTGCCCGCCCCTTTGATCGACAGCACGTCCGTCTCTATCCACAAAGTCCTTCTTGCCGTCTCTGTTCCTTGAAACCTGGTTTGCTGGATCCTTTGAGCGAAGCTCTTTCTGTCTCCGTCTCAATAGACGAGGTTTGCCCGCTCCTTTGATCGGCAGCACGTCCGTCTCTATCCACGAAAGTCCTTCTTGCCGTCTCTGTTTCCTTGAACCTGGTTTGCTGGATCCTTTGAGCGAAGCTCTTTCTGTCTCCGTCTCAATAGACGAGGGTTGCCCGCTCCTGTGATCGGCCGCTCGTCCGTCTCTATTCTCAAAGTCCTTCTTGCCGTCTCTGTTCCATGAAACCTGGTTTGTTGGATCCTTTGAGCGAAGCTCTTTCTGTCTCCGTCTCAATAGACGAGGGTTGTCCGCTCCTTTGATCGGCCGCTCGTCCGTCTCTATTCTCAAAGTCCTTCTTGCCGTCTCTGTTCCATGAAACCTGGTTTGTTGGATCCTTTGAGCGAAGCTCTTTCTGTCTCCGTCTCTATAGACGAGGGTTGCCCGCTCCTTTGATCGGCAGCACGTCCGTCTCTATCCTCAAACATTGCCTTTGTGATTCGCTTGTTCATAAATGTGTTGACTGATTGAAGTTGTTGGTGTCATTGTATCGTATGTCCGATGGTTCGCTTGTTAGATAGATGACAGACTCACGTGTTTGTTTTTATTTCACTTGTTTGTTGCCTGTGCGATTCGGTTGTTTGTTTCATAAAGGTCTTGATTGATAGAAGTCTTCGGATGTGTCCTCGGATGTCATGTCTGATCATTCGCTTGATAATCAGATGGATAGATGAATAACTCACTTGTTTGTATTCCCTTCTTCTCGATTGTTGTTTGTGTGAGTCGCTTGTTTCATCAAGGTCTTGTTTGATAGAACTCCTGGGTGCTTTTGCATCTCATGTCCGGTGATTCGCTTGCTATCTAGATTAATAGCTAACTAACTTATTTCTCTTCTCTTCTACGTGATGCTTCTATTTGATTGTTATGTCCGATGATTAGCCTTTCAGATAGATAGTCATGATAGATAGATAGTCATGATAGACAGATAGTCATGATAGATGGATAGTCATGATAGATGGATAGTCATGATAGATGGATAGTCATGATAGATAGATAGTCATGATAGATAGATAGGCATGATAGATAGATAGTCGTGATAGATAGATAGTCATGATAGATAGATAGTCATGATAGATAGATAGTCGTGATAGATAGATAGTCGTGATAGATGGATAGTCATGATAGATGGATAGTCATGATAGATGGATAGTCATGATAGATAGATAGTCATGATAGATAGATAGTCGTGATAGATAGATAGTCGGGATAGATAGATAGTCGTGATAGATGGATAGTCATGATAGATAGATAGTCATGATAGATGGATAGTCATGATAGATAGATAGTCGTGATAGATAGATAGTCGTGATAGATGGATAGTCATGATAGATGGATAGTCATGATAGATGGATAGTCGTGATAGATGGATAGTCGTGATAGATAGATAGTCATGGATAGATACGATAGTCATGAAAGATAGATAGTCATGATTAGATGATGTCGATAGATAGATAGCTCATGATAGATAGATAGTCCATGATAGATAGAATAGCATCATGATAGATTAGATAGTGTACATGATAGATGGATAGTCATGATAGATAGATAGTCATGATAGATAGATAGTCATGGACGATAGATAGTCATGGATAGATAGAATAGTCATGATAGAATGAAATAGTCATGATAGAAGGGACAGTCATGAAAGATAGATAGATAGTCCATGGATAGAAAAAAAAAAATAGAAAAAAAAATTAGAATTTAAAGGGTATCCCCCCATGAAAAAAAAGAAAAAAAAAAATAAAAGAAAAAAAAAAAAAAAAAATAGAAAAAAAAAATTAAGTCAATGGGAAAAAAAAAATTAGAAAATTGGGTTTTTTAGTCAATTGATAGATAGATAGTCATGATAGATAGATAGTCATGATAGATGGAATCAGTCATGATAGATAGATAGTCATGAAGAATGAATAGTCATGAAAGATAGCATAATCAATGATAGATAGATAGTCAGATCAGATAGATAGTGAGATAGATGGATAGTCATGATAAGATGGAATGTAATGATAGATAGATAGTCAATGATAGATAGATTAGTCATGATAGATAGATAGTCCATGAAAGATAGATAGTAATGATAGATCGTGATAGTCAATGATAGATGGATAGTCATGATAGATAGAAGGTCATGATAAGCATAGATAGTCATGATAGATTTGGTAGTCCATGATAGATACGATTAGTCATGATAGAAGGACAGTCATGATGATATAATAGTCATAATAGATAGAAGATAGTCATGATTAGATCAGATAGATAGTCATGATGAGAGATGTGAAGATGGATAGTCAATATCGATAGATAGTCATGATAGATCAGATAGTCTATGAAGTTATTGTCAGATAGAGTAGATATATACAGAATGGATATAGTTCATCGGAGATGAGATAAATGATTCATAGATAGAATGGTATTCATGATACAAATAGGATTCATTGATTCATAGATATCCTGAGATAATATGTCTGTATAACGATATAATTATATGTATCCATGATATTATATGTATATATTATAGATTATAGATAGTCATGAATAGGATAAGATAGCAATAGTGATAAGATGGCATAGTCATTGATAGATAGATAGTCATTGATAGAATAGATAGTCCATTGATAGGATAGATAGTATGATAAGATGACATAGTATGATAGATGATATGTCATGATACGATGGAAATAGTCCATGATAAGACAGTCTTGGCCATGAAGTAGAACTAATTCATCATAGATAGGAGAGTCTGATCGATAGATAGATATATTGAATGAACTAGTGGATGTCATGATAGATGGATTGTAAATGGATGATAGATAGAATCATGCATAGGATTAGATGTCATTGATAGATTATTCATGAATAGATACGATAGTGATAGATATGATGGATAGTCTATGATAGATGGATTATATGATAGATAAATAGTCTAGATAGATGGGTGTCATGATAGAAGGACAGTCATCGAAAGATATGATAGATTAGTCATGCTCGATGATATATCACTAGTAGTCGATAGTCATCGACTAGTCGACTCGTCATGATATGATAGATAGTATGGATAGAATAGATGTCATAGGATAGATCAGGTAGTGCATGGCTAGATAGATATGTCATAGATAGTATAGATATCATGATAGTGTCGTCATGATAGATGGATAGTCCATGATAGATAGTAGTCCATATAGATAGATTGTCAGGACGATAGATAAGATGATAGATAGTATGTCATGATAGATGAATAGTCCATGATAGATAGATATAGTCATGATAGTATAGTAGTAGATAGATGTGGATAGTCATGATTGATGAATAGTCATGATATGATTACGATAATCTAGATACGATCTATTAGTCATGTATAGATGGATTAATGATAGATTAGATTAGTCTATGATAAAGATAGATATGTTAATTGTATAGATCGATAAACGATAGATTTATAAAGTCATCGATAGATGGATAGTCATGATAGAAGGACAGTCATTGATAGATTAGACTAGTATGTTCAAGATAAGATATGATAGAATAGTGCAATGATTAGATTAGATATAGTCATGATAGTGGTATAGTCATGATAGTGATATGTCCATGATAGATAGATAGTCATCGATAGATTGGATATCATTATAGATAATAGTCATATAGATAGATAATTTCTGATAGATAGATAGTCATGATGAGGATTATATGTAGATGGATAGTTCTGGAAAGATAGTCTATGATAGATTAAGATAGTGATAAGATAGATGGATGTCATGATAGATGATAGTCATGATAGATAGATAGATAGTCATGATGATAGATAGATCAGTCATGATAGATAGATAGTCATGATGATTGGATGTCATGATAGATAGATATGTCATGATAGATAGATACGTTCATGATAGATTGATAGGTATGATAGATTGATATGTCATGATAGATGGATAGTCATGATAGAATAGATTCATGAATAATAGATAGTAATGATTAGATAGTAGTGATGATGAGATGGATAGTCATGAATAGATGGACGTCATGATAAGATAGACATAGAAAGTCGATAGATGATAGATAGTCTACGAATATTAGATAGTCCATGATAATGGGATAGTCATGGAATTAGATTAGTATAGTCAATGATAATAGATAGTCAATGATAGATAGATAGTCATGATAGATGGATGTCATGTAGAATGCGATAGTCATGCAATAATAGATAAGTCATGAGATAGATAGTCATGATAATGATAGTCATGATAGATAAAAAGTCATCGATAGATGGATAGTCCTGATAAGATGAATAGTATGAATAGATGGATGTAATTGATAGATAGATAGTCATGTAGATAGATGTCATGATAGATGGATTAGTCCATGATAGATTGATAAGTCGTGATAGATAGAAGCCATCGTTTGTAGATAGTATGATTAGAAGATTAGTCCATGATAAAGATAGTCATCGATAGAATAGATAGTCATGATAGATGAATAGTCATGATGATGATGTAAATAGATAGTATGTTATGAATAGAATGTCATGTATATGAGTAAGTCAGATGATAGATAGTCATGATTAGATAGAGGATGTCATAGATAGATTAGATAGTTCATGATAGATAGATAGTCATGAATAGATAGATAGTCATGTATAGCATAGGTAGTCATATAGATATGTAGCTCATCGATATGTAGTCATTGATAGATAGGATCTGATAGATACGATGTTGTGATTAGGATAGACTAGTCGTGATAGATTAGATAGTCATGATTGATAGATAGTCATGATAGCTAGATAGTCATGATGATAGATTCATGAGATTAGGTAGTCAATGGATAGATAGATAGTCATCGATAGAATATGATAGTCATGAATAGAATAGATAGTCCTCATGGATAGATAGATAGTCATGATAGATAGAATAGTCATGTTAGTACTCATGATAGTGACTAGTCATGATAGATAGATAGTCATGATAGATGGATAGTTCATGATAGATAGATAGTTCATAGATAGATAATTAGTCATGGATCTATTGAATTATGTCAGATAGATAGATAGTCTATATAATTATATGCTATTCCGCATAGAGGACAGTCATGAAAGATGAATAGATAGTCATGATAGATAGATAGATAGTCATAGATAGATTAGATTAGTCATGATAATGAAGTTGTCCATGATAGATATGTATAGTCATGATAGATTAGATAGTCATAGATGCATGGTCATGTCATGATAGTATAGAATAGTTCATGATAGATGAATAGTCCATGAAAGATAGATATCATGATATGATATGATACGTCATGATACAAGATAGATAGTGAATGATTAGATGATAGTCATTGATAGATGGATGTAGGTTATTAGATAGTAGTCATGAAGATAGATATTTTCATGAAAGATAGATAGTCATGAATGATAGATGTAATGATAGACTCGATAGATCATGATAGATGGATAGTCATGATAGATAGAGATAGTT